ATGTTTTGTTTTTGTTTGTGTTTGTGTTATTTGTGTTCCTGTTTTGTGAAGTTTCGTTCCTATTTGACGGTAGTATTTTCCCTTGCCAAGCTGTAAAGTTATTGGTGGTTTCCAGATTTTGTATTTTTCTCCTGAAGGTAAATATTTTTTAACTTTTAATGTAGTTTACCCTTGTTACTTGTTGTGTGATTCATCAAATCTCTGTTTTGCCAATTTATTGATATTTATTCATTTGCAGTTTTTCATCACTGAGAAAGAAAGTTCATAGTTGATTGTGCTAGCATCAGATAGATAGAAACAAATGACAAATGCAGTATAAATACAAAGAAAAATTAAATCATAGAAACCTTATCATTACAGCTTCAGTAGTGTAAGCAGAAAAATGAAAACATTCTGGGTAGCAGTTTTAAATGTTGTATAAATATTCACATTAACCTGTCTTATGACCTGTACAAGTGAGCAATGTTGTCATTATGATATCAGTAGTTTGCTTTGTTTTATGTCTGTTCTGGCTTAAATATGTTGAGGATCACTTGCATAAAACATTAATTGTAAGATGAAGTTGAAGTAAGATGAACCATGAAGTTGCTCAGGTGCATTGTTAGGTTATGTGAGTAGCATTGCAGTACTTTCTTTTGGAAAACAAATATACTGTGTACCTGGCATTCTCTGCTCTAATGCTTGATCATTTACAGTACAGATCAACAAAGTGTGATTAAGAGGATCATAGAGATCATAGATGGGACGCCAACAACCACAAACCCATCAAACTTATAGAGGAAGTGTTTCGATGATCACGCTTGTTTTTCAAATGGACTGTAGTCATACCAATTGATCTGGAGTTGCCAATTGAGTGCAAAACTTACCGCCACAAGAGGAAAGTGAGGAACTGAGCCACTCAGCTCTTAACATGACAGAGGCTCCACACTGCTGACTCGAGGAGAGCTGCGTTCCTCTCCGACAGCACTGCATGTCTGCAAGCATCTGTGGAGCCGCTGGGGTGCCTTCTGGATGCTGAGGCAGTCTTGGCCGACGAATCACACGCTACACCTGGTGGTATTCAGCCAGCGCTGTGCACGGATAGTCAGGATACTTTAAACAAAAATGACAACAAACTAAGCATGCTGATGAAAAGGGGAAATATTCCTTCCTATTCTGCAGGAATCTCCCTCTATAGTTAGTTTTTACAGGGTTACTGGGTGAAAGAGAAGTATCAGGCCCTCTTTAGAGTGCAGACGATTGTACAGTATGATGGCCAATGGCCCTCTCACAAGGACAAGGACAGAGTGAATGGGTCTACATTCACTGGTCATCCAATGATATTGTCATAGCTTGGTGGATTCATTTAAAACAATTGAAAATTCCCCAAATTCCAAAGGTCTAGCAAAGGTGATCCCACCTAGTGAAAAACGAATCCTACTGTAAAAAAACAAGTGTGGATCTCTGATTGTCAATATTCAGGCACAAGGTAATTAAATAATCTGTGGTAGATATGCTATATACAATTAATTCATTGTTCATTGTTAATCAGAGAATCTGAGGTCTGTTTGGCTCTGATTTTTATTTGAGACTGGCTGACATCAATCATACTGTATATTCCCATCCTTCAGCACTGAAAGTACAGTATATCCCTAAAGTATAGCTAAAGTATTGCTAAAATCTGTATACAGTAGGTGTTAAAGGAATATTGTTATTTTAAACACAACATAAAGCATACTATTAAGGGCTATATTGTGTCCAGTTTGAATGCATATACTGTAAAGGTCATTTATATTTTAACTCTAAATCTAAAAATTGTAGTACAGGATCAGCTGAAAAGGACATCTTAGACTAAGTGTAACTTTTGGTGACATAGTTTACAACTTTTCTTTTAACATATTTTAATATTTTATTTAACTACTGGCTTTAGAAACATGGACTGAGTTGGCATGGATCTTTTATTGACAGATTGTATGAACAGACTAAAATAGGATGACAATTCAGCTCCCTTTTGAATGTGAGGTTAGAATACCTGTAGAGGGAAAATAGGGATCTTTATAACTCAGAAGATAATAAAAGTACTAAAGTGAATTCCTAGTCACAATATTAGTCTTGTGTGCACCCATTGCCTTGCCTTAACCTTGCAGTAGAGTTCTGCCAAATCTCCCACTGATGAATTGTTGGCAAGGATGTATCATAACATATCCTATAACCCATGAATGTACAATCTCTATTTTTTTGGCTAAACATATGCATGTGAAAAATGTACTGCCATCTTCAACAAAAAATCTCGGAATACTACAATTAGAGCTATCATACTGTAGATCAACTTTCTGTATCCCACTGCACTCACACATACTGTATACTGTACTCAAGATTTCTTCATGTTTGGATAAAACGTTTGTGTGTTTAATGATGAATTTGGTCAAGGTGCTAAAGTAACAAATGAGAAAATTCCACAGATGTTACACTTAAGCCTTGAAAGTTCATCAAAAAATTATAGACTTGTATTAAGGAAAAAAATAGTACTTTAAATGAATGGATCTTTTGTCTTCTTGGACCTTTCATAAACACATTTCCCATGAAATTAGATGCTGAAATCCACTCCCATACTGACATTTCTGAGTACCTCTAAAAAATCACGTTTTCTTAGAGGAGGTAGAGTTTTGCGCGTGGGTGCTTGTTTGTATGCATTTACCATAAAACATTGACTTCTCGCTTTGAGAATCTCTGAAAAACAATGCCACCATTTTTAAGTACTGCCAAGCCCTTTCAGCGGTTTATACACACCTTTCCTTTTTTGTGATGAGAAAACTATACTATATTCTTTTTAGCAGCCCTTTCATTTCTCCACCTGCACTAAGTACAATGTGATTGTGCTTATTTTGCCTGCAGCTATATCACCCTGCAGCTCACAACTGACAAGCCACTGAAGCAAAGCAGGTGTGAGCCTGGCCAGTACCTGGATGGGAGGCGCTAAGGTTGCCGCTGGAAGAGGTGTTTGTGAGGCCAGTAGGGGGCGATCACTCTGTGGTCTGTATGTGTCCTAATAACCCAGTATGGTGATGACTGTGTCA